CTGCAGTTAAATATTCAACAGATTCCAAAGGATGTTGACCGGGTAAAAGGTGCTCTCCAACAAGATGTACCTAACATGCAGATTTGACAGCAGTACTGACTCTTCTGGAAACTGACGGTAGAAAGTACAATCCAACTGGTGCCAAATATCAGCTTTTCTAGAACCTTCTGCTACAGTCAAATATTTAGCATATCCAAGGGTATTAACCGGGTAAAAGGAGCTCTTCTAACAGGTTGTACCTGACATGCAGTCTGACAGCAATACTGGCTCTGCTAATGACACTTAAGATAACATTCTTCTTGCCCCCAAGTTTCTGCAGTGCACCCAGCAGACCGGTCTAAGCCAAATACAAGATATCGTAACAATGGGTAAAGACCAATTTCCTTTGCCTATAAATAGAGCTCATCCTCCACATATTCAAGATGAACCGATGCTTCATACATCAGTTGTAGGCATTCTACTTCTTCTCTCTCCCCACTTTCAAGCTCTCAAATCCTACATTTCCATACACCAAAAACCTCCATCCTCCATTATACACACCTCATACTTCAACCATTCACTCCTCTTTATTCCTTCATTCATAAACCTTACACTATAAAGCCACTTCATTTCTCACCATCTTACTACATAACCGTACCTTCAAAGACCTCCATTGTTCTCTCTCTCAAGCCCTCAAGCTCTCCATTTAAGTTCTCAAGAAGCTCTCATTTTGTGCTATTCAAGAAAAGGAAGTTCAAGGGGATTCCATGGAAGCCATTAAAGGGGTGTCAACCGTGTTTAGCCAATGACTATTCCCAAGTGCAACAAGCTACCTCTCCTCTCCCAAACCACTCTTGCTATTTCCTTCTTCATTATCCTCTCTACTAACCTTATATTTTCCCATTTTCCATAAAACACTATTTTCTTCTTGGATAGTCTCTTGTTCTTCATATATAAAGGTGAACAACAGTCTGATTGCTATGGGGCTGCCTTGCTGACGTGTCACTCTGCCGAGGAGGGAGTTCCGCTGCTGGGAAGTGCTGTTGGGCACTTCAATCGAAGTCTTATTCTTCACCAACAAACCTGGACAACAATATTGTCATTACGATGCAACCCTACTGAGGAGTTACTTTACTGAGAAGGAAGCTCTTTTGCTGAGAAGCGCTGCTAGGAAATGCTGCTGAGAGTCATGATCAAAGTCTTGTTCTTCATCAACTGAAGTGGTCAGTATTTTTACTACTGTGGTGCAACTTTGCTGAGGTGTTACTCTGGCAAGAAGGAAGCACTTCTGTTGGGAAGAGTTGCTAGGGATCTTGAAGACTGATACTCTGCTGAGACACGACACTAAGAAAGCTTCAAAGGGGGTGAAGACCCACTCTCTTATGGGCTTAAACCTGCACTTTAAACTTGGCTCAGAACTCAGAATAGGTGGTGAAGATCAGTTTCTTATCCATTCATACTTGCTAGAGGTTGATCTAGTTGGCGACTCCATCCACATGTTTTAGTTGATTGGTGCCACAACATCATAAGGTGTCACATCATCTCCGCTGATAGAAAATACCCCACAAACTCTAAATTTTATAAACAAACTATCTCTCCTTCCAAACTGTCTTCTCCTCCCAAATACGATCTTAATATTTTAATCGTAGGAGCCAGACCATTGGATTTGGCGAGGGATGGCATGATGACAGCTAGATGAGATGATTTATAACCTTTAACTAGGTTGGTTATTCGGTTTTTTAATAGGAATTGAAAAAGGAAAAATGGTCTAATCAACAATAGAAAATGGACTGAGTTGTAAAAGTGGAGGGCAAAATGACAAAATTACAAACGATGAAATGGTCCCACACATTGAATTTGTCTGTCAAAAGGGACAAAATAGTAACCACGATTGATGGAAACAAATTAATATTATATTAATTCTAATATTTAACTGATTTAAGAAAAAAGAAACAACTGAAAAGGAACATCATTATTTAACTTTGTTGAATATGAATCACAAGGTTTTGACCCGTGCGCACTACGCTGCGCAATTGATATGTTAGCGCGTAATTGATATGTTTTAGCAACTGATGGTTGAGATGTTTGGAGATCTGTTGCTACATGAGCCCAGATTGAAAGCTTGAATTGATATAGAGCATCAAAAGTAATTTAGGGACTAAGGAAATCTGGTGGCTTATAAAGAGTGGCCATAAGATTGAAAGCTTGAATTGATAAATATAGATGTAATATAATAAATATAGAAAACTGAAACATAAATAAAGCAATTGGCTAAGAATGAAAGATCTTGTTTGATATACAAAGGTAGACATATAGCAAATGGAATAATAAACTAAAGCTTATAATAGTTTTTAATTTGATATTGATGGGTAGAACAACATATAAGAAGTGTAGCTCCAATGTGAAGAAACTCTCAAGCTAACGTGAATTGTGAAGAATAAAGCTAGCACAGTCATGTCGCCTAGTACTCCCTCAAGTTGGATGCAAGTGTCGCCTGCTTTTGAAGAAAACCATATCGCATTGAATTGCTCATTTCGTTAACTGTAGCTCCAATTACTCCCTCATGAGCTTGCTGCCTTGGCAACCTTATTGAATCCACCAGTAACCATGTGGCTCCAGCCACTAATCTCTAAGTTAAACCAATCATCTGATCTAGGAAAGCAACTTTTGCTGTAGTAGTTGATGTGAACTAACACTTCTCACTCCATCTTTGCCAAGAATGAATCCCCTGGCAAGCATGCTGCTCGCAACATCCTCTACTTTATGGATAATAGATCGAGCCTGACTACCACATATTCTCTATTGCCTGCAGTGATACAAGAATTTATTCACATTAGTAATCATTATTATTTATTTAGCGGGTCACCAAAAATTCAAATAGATGAGAAAGAAAAGATAGAATTACCATAAACAGTTGGAAAAAAACTACAAACCTGCTAGAAATACAGAGACCAATGCCTCCTGTCCATCCACGCCTCTTTGGTGGCTGCAAAAAACAAAAACAATAAGTAAAAAACTTTGTACCAAGAAGGGCCTTAAGCTATCAGGAAAAGTTATAATGGCAGCATAAGGAAATCAATCAAGATGGCCAACCCAATTTTTGTTCAGTGTTAATACAGAGCAATTGGAATCATATATCAATCATCCCCAATAAATTGATTGGAAGCATATATATAGAGGATTGAATGAACCGTTCAATAGATATTGAAAGTCTCATAATGAATGTGTAATAAAAGTTTTAAAGGATGTATGTAATCCAATCCAATGACAACCAACACATCTACAGGACTTAATAAGCCAGCCAACTTATGTTACGAGCCCACCTTCTACAGCAATACCAATTCCAAGCCCAAGGGTGAAACGGGTGAGGTACAGACCAGCATACTTGAAAGATTTTGAGACCAACAAGAAATAGCTAGCTGACAGCTGCTTAATTTATATTTCCAATTACTGCTAATTCCCTGTTATTCCTTTATGCAAATTCTATTGTGTAATCGGTTAGTTGTGGGACCCTTATGTTGGCTCATGATCCGATGTTGATGGCTTAGTCATCAAGTCCTTATCATTTCCTTTATGTACTGGCTGATCGTTATGGAATACTAAGAAGAATATTTTCCTCTACTAGTTTTCTCCTTTCTACTCTCCCCTTCTTCTCTGTTCTTATCTCTCCCTTCCCTAACCTTCTCTTTCTATCATTGGTGCCTTTCATCGAGAGTCTCATGGCTCCCAAGGTGGAAAAAACCGATACCTCGTTAACGGAGGCCTTGCACGCCTTGACTGAGTCCTTCAATACTCAGTTTCAAGAACTGCGAGCTTCTCAGATAGAGCTCAAGCAAGCCTTGGACACCAAACTTGATATTGCCATAGCTGATTTCAACAAGAAAGTAGCCTTCCGAGAAAATCCACCACCGCCTAGCCTTGCTGCAAACACTTATGATGGTGTTCTGGGATCCTTCCCTGGACAATCCTCTCAAACCACCACAGATCCCCTTTTTAAACCAAAAACACCAAAATTTTTCTTGTCCACTTTTGATGGCACAAATGTTCATGCTTGGCTATTTCAAGCAGAACAATATTTCAAGTTCTACTCTATTACTCATGCCCAACGAATTCCGATGGTCCATTTCTTCATGACCGGTGAGGCGGCAGCCTGGTATCAATGGATGTATAAAAACAATCAGTTCACGGATTGGGAATCATTCGCACGAGCTATAGAAATCCGCTTTGGTCCCTCCAAATTTCTTAATCCCCAGTCAGCTTTGTTCAAACTTAGACAAACAGGAACGGTAACCCAGTATCGTAGGGAATATGAGATTCTCTCCAATCGAGTCACTGGTCTCTCAGATGAGCATCTGCTCAACCTCTTTATTTCTGGGCTGCGCGCAGATATTCAACAGGAAGTCATCACCTTTAAGCCGGTGACCCTTGCCCACGCTTTTGAGCTGGCCAAACACATTGAAACTAAGCTTTTTGAGAGTCGTCAAACCCCTTCTCGGGCACCGCCACGAGCCTTTCAGACTCCGGTTCAAAAGCCGACTCCACCAGCTTCATACCCTATACGGCGGCTTTCACCCACGGAGATGCAGGCAAGGCGTTCAAAGGGGCTTTGCTTTAACTGTGATGAGCAGTTTCAACCTGGGCATCGGTGTAAAACAACACCGTTCTTACTTCTTCAAATAGATGATGAGTCTCCAGATCCCTTGATGAGCTTGGAAGCATCGGAAGTGACAAATTGCCCACCCCTTTCTTCATTACCGCTGCCACCACCTCCGCCGATGCCATTAGTTCCAGAAGAGGAGACCCCTGAATTCCAAGTCTCTCTCTATGCCCTGCACGGTATTGCTTCCCATTCATGCCTCAAACTTACAGGAATCATTCAAGGCCACTCTTTCACCATCTTAATCGATTCGGGAAGCACACACAACCTGGTGCAACCTCGTCTGGTGCGGCATTTGGGGCTGGCAGTGGAACCTGCTCCGCCGTTAGCTGTCAGGGTTGGAAACGGCGATGTGCTTCGCTGTGCCGGCAAGATTTCAGGGCTCAAAGTCGATCTCCAAAAGTTGGTATTCTCTTTGGACTTATTTTTATTGGATATTCATGGGGCTGATATAGTTTTGGGCATCCAATGGTTGGCCCAACTTGGCCCAATCTTTGCAGATTTTAGTCTCCTACTAATGTCCTTTAATTATCATGGAACCTGGGTCACTCTTGAGGGTCACCAAAATACACAACCCGACCCAATTTCCAACCATGAGTTGCAAAAATTAGCCCATAAGAATCACCTTGTTTCTGCCCAATTGCTTACCCTAGTTGATTCCACAACTAAATTGCCTCCACCCTCGTTTTCTACAGAGCTCATTGTACTCATCAACCAATATAGCAAGGTGTTCGAAACTCCAAAGGGCCTTCCTCCTCAAAGACCTCATGATCATCATATTCACCTCTTACCTGGCTCTGCGCCTGTAAATGTTAGGCCCTATCGATATCCACATCATCAAAAACAGGATATGGAGACTATGATTGCAGAAATGCTTAAGGAAGGTATTATTTGCCCCAGTACCAGCCCATTCTCTTCACCGGTGCTGTTGGTAAGGAAGAAAGATGGAACCTGGCGCTTTTGCATTGACTATAGGGCATTAAACGCAATTACTGTCAAAGATAGGTTCCCAATTCCCACCATTGATGAGTTGCTCGATGAACTTCATGGTGCAAAGGTTTTCTCGAAAATAGACCTAAGGGCTGGGTACCATCAGATCAGGGTGGCAGATTCCGATATACACAAGACCGCCTTCCGCACCACTGATGGTCATTTTGAATTTCAAGTCATGCCTTTCGGCTTGACCAATGCTCCATCAACTTTTCAATCAGCCATGAATGAGTTGTTTCGACCCTTTTTGCGCAAATATGTGTTGGTTTTCTTCGATGACATCTTGGTATACAGCTCATCGGTGTCAGAACATTTGAAGCACCTTCAACAAGTCTTGGAGTTACTGCTTAAGCACCAATTCTTCGCTAAGCAATCGAAGTGTTCTTTTATGCAATCATCCATAGATTACCTTGGACATGTTATCACTAGCGAAGGGGTCCAAGTCGACTCTTCAAAGATCGAAGCCATTACAACTTGGCCTCAACCCACCTCTGTAAAAGCTCTACGTGGGTTCCTTGGACTGACTGGGTATTATAGAAAATTTGTGCAGCATTATGCAACTATTGCAGCACCTCTCACTGATTTACTTAAGGCAAAGGCCTTTCATTGGAGTCCAGCGGCTACTGAAGCCTTCTTGAACCTCAAAAGGGCATTGACAACTACTCCAATTCTATCCTTTCCTGATTTCTTAAAGGATTTTGAGGTCACCACAGATGCATCCATGGTGGCAATCAGGGCCGTGTTGTCTCAAGAGGGTCGTCCACTAGCCTATTTCAGCAAAAAGTTATGTACAAGAATGCGAAACTCATCCACCTATGTAAGGGAAATGTATGCAATTACAGAGGCAGTAAAAAAATGGAGGCAGTATCTATTGGGAAGAGCCTTTGTTATTTACACTGATCAGCAGAGTCTTCGAGGTTTAATGGAGCAGACCATTCAAACCCCGGAACAACAGAAATGGTTGGTTAAACTCCTGGGGTTTCAATACACTATTCAGTACAAGCCTGGGTCACAAAACAAGGTGGCAGATGCTCTTTCTCGATCCTTGGCTGATGAAGGTACTTGTCTTGCATTCTCTGTACCAGTCATGACTTTTCTAGATGACTTGCGGCTCTATTATGGCAATGATCCTGATGGCAAAGCCTTGTTCCAACAAGCTCAAGATCCTCTATCGGAATTCTCCACTATCAATGGGCTTCTCATGAGAAAAGGGCGCATTGTGATACCAGATTCACACCCTTTGCAAAAGACTCTGCTTCATGAATTTCACAGTACACTAGTAGGAGGGCATGCCGGAGTAACCAAGACATTGGCCAGACTCTCGGCTAATTTCTGGTGGAAGGGACTGCGCAAGACAGTCAGGGAATTTGTTGCGGAATGTCAAGTCTGCCAAGAGGTTAAATACCTCACTTCAAAGCCTCAAGGGTTGCTAGCACCATTGCCAATTCCTTCTCAAGTATGGCAAGATCTCGCAATGGATTTTATCACTAATCTGCCAAGCTCAAAAGGCAAGGAAACCATTTGGGTGGTTGTGGATCGCCTGACTAAATACGCTCATTTCATAGCCCTACCTTCTCATATTACAGCTCCTGCACTTGCCTCTGTTTTCTCCAAGGAAGTGGGTCGATTACATGGCTACCCTCGCAGCATTGTAAGTGATCGAGACCCTTTATTCTTGAACAACTTCTGGAAAGAATTGTTTCGCCTGCAAGGCACTCAACTTCAGATGAGCAGCGCTTACCATCCCCAAACGGACGACCAATCCGAAGTGCTCAACAGGTGTTTGGAAACCTATTTGAGGGCTTTCACTTCCGAGAATCCGAAACAGTGGGCACACATCCTTCATTGGGCGGAATGGTCTTATAATACATCTCTTCATTCTGCAACTGGCATGACTCCTTTTGAAGGGCTATATGGGCATCCGCCACCAACGATCACTTCCTACATCCCAGGTGAAACTCAAAATGCTCAATTGGATAACAGTGTGATTGAAAGGCAGACCCTGTTAAAAAGACTCAAAGCTAATCTAGCTCAAGCCCAGAATCGAATGACCATGCAAGCTGATAGGAAGAGAATTGAAAAGCACTTCTTTGAGGGTGAATGGGTGCTTGTCAAACTTCAACCTTATAGGAAACGTTCAGTTGCTCAACGCCCTTGTCAGAAGCTGGCAAAAAGGTACTTTGGGCCCTACTAAATTCTGCAGAAGATAGGCTCTGTTGCATACAAGCTGCAATTACCAGAGGGTTCCAAAATACACCCTGTCTTTCACATTTCACTATTCAAGGCTTATAAAGGAAAAATACCAAGTGAACTTACTCCATTACCAGTTGAATGTATTGGTGGGCAGGCTGTTCTAGAGCCTGAGGCAATATTGCAAACTCGGCAGGTCCAAAATCATAGCAGCTTTTCTACACAATTTTTGGTTAAATGGCAGCACCTCCCAAACTCAGAAGCTACCTGGGAATGCGCTGAGGATTTCAAACAGAGCTACCCAAACTTCAACCTTGAGGACAAGGTTGTCAAAGAAGGAGACAGCAATGTTACGAGCCCACCTTCTACAGCAATACAAATTCCAAGCCCAAGGGTGAAACGGGTGAGGTACAGACCAGCATACTTGAAAGATTTTGAGACCAACAAGAAATAGCTAGCTGACAGCTGCTTAATTTATATTTCCAATTACTGCTAATTCCCTGTTATTCCTTTATGCAAATTCTGTTGTGTAATCGGTTAGTCGTGGGACCCTTATGTTGGCTCATGATCCGATGTTGATGGCTTAGTCATCAAGTCCTTATCATTTCCTTTATGTACTGGCTGATTGTTATGGAATACTAAGAAGAATATTTTCCTCTACTAATTTTTTCCTTTCTACTCTCCCCTTCTTCTCTGTTCTTATCTCTCCCTTCCCTAACCTTCTCTTTCTATCAACTTACTACCAACTTCCACTTGAAATCACTCCTCAGAGAAATTGAGCTCCAAGATTTGCCAAAATTCAAAAATAGTACATTGAATATTCCTGACCTTGATGTTTTGTTGTTCTGTTTGTTCAGAGAAATTTTGGTCATCCTAGTTTCTAACAAAACCATATTAAAAAGCAGTCCAAAAAGAAAAAAAAAGAAACCGACAGAGAGATGACAGTCAGTTACGGACTAAAAATCGCGATAAGGCAGGCGTAAATCAGGTAATGAATAAGTGCCAATTAACATAAAAAAAAAAAAAAAAAACTCTGCAAGAAGCCAAGAACCATACCTGAAGATAAGATGAAAGGTATGCAGGCCTGTAAAAAGAGGAAAAATAAATTCCCATAAATGAAGGGGAAAAACCCAATATAGATAAACAAATACTTTCATAAACAAAATTCGATTAATACTTGATACCCATACACAAATTAAGAAGAAGAGAAAGGACCTGAGAACTCAAAATCAAAGAGCCAAATACCTGATTAAAACTGCAGAATTTGAACAATCTGATTATTGAAGGAATCAATGTTTTTTTTTTAAAAAAAAAAACCTGATTACTGAGGGAATCAACGTGTTTTTTTTTGTCTCTTTATCTTTTTTCTCTAAACATAAAAAAGGATTTGAAAGAATGTGAGGAGTCCGAACAGTAGGAGAAGCTCTGAACTGAGAAAGGGGAGAAGAGGGAAGCTCTAGGATAAAACACATAAGAAAGGAAGTGCTAAGAACTGAGAGGGTGAAGAGACAGAGAGGAGAGGGAGGAAAAAGGAAGAAGAATCAAGAAGGGAGAAGAAACACTGAGAAAAAGCTGGATATGGAGATTTAATTTAAATGGATTTCTAGAATGTTCACAGTCAATCAACAGGGTAAGTGGCGGATCATTTAAAGCAAAGAGAATTAGGGTAGTTGTAATTGTTGGGGCATGACCGGATAAATAGGTAAACAATCAAAACCAAACCGATTTAAAACAGTGATCCAACGAATGAGCAGGGAGAGAGAAAAAATAAAAACACGTGTCATACACCAGTTGAATCAAAAATACAGAAAAAGATGATATTATCCCCACCACACAGTATCCCAAATTAACCACAAACCAAAGAATTAATTTTGATTAGTCCTAAAAAGTCAATTTAACTTCACAAATAGTATGTTGTTTATAACTTAACGAGCAAAAACACAAGCACTTGATATGCATTTTTGACTAATAAAAGAAACCCCATAGAAAACATGAACTCAAAACCCAATACATTGTTTATGGAAAATTTTCAAGTAAAAATTTCTAAAACACAAACGATACCAGAGTAATTAAAACAAAATTTTCAAGTAATCGTTTGGCAAATGAGAAAGAAACTAAGGGGTCGTTTGGCATCGTCTTCGTTTTTTTGTTTTTTGTTTTTGTTTCGTTTTCATTTTGTTTTTGTTGCATTGTCAATTTTTTGAAAGCAAAAACATGTTTGGATATATAATTTGGTTGTATGTTTTTAAATAAAAAAGTTTAAAATGTTGAAAAAGCATGTGTGTTACTGTTCCTTTTTTGGGTACATCCATGTGAGTTACTGTTTGATGAGACCTAATTTCATACTTATTTTCTATATGATTTTACCTTGTTTTGGTAATCATAAGTATCTATTTACCCTCATATTTCTCATATTTCTGTTTTCAGGACCATTTAGAGACATTATTTAAGATTATGAAGATTTGGAGCAATTTTGGATCAATTTGGAGAAATAACTGATTTTCGTCAATTTTAGCCCCAAGAGCCCATTGGAGCTTATTAAGCTTAAAGAAAGCTTGAATCATTGAAGATCCAAATTTTATTTCTCTAGGCCCAATTCGCATATCTTAATGTCCAATTAAGAGTTTCAAGCCTAATTAGCAATTATGATGCAGTAAATAATTGATGATTGGAGAAATTCCAAATCCTAGTCAAAGAAGGATTCTCAAGTGCAGTTTCGGTAGAAAAATCATATCTTTTGATCCAGAGCTCAGAAAAATGCATATGATATATCGTTGGAAAATTGATTTCAGGCTCTACAACTTTGATTATGACCTCGAGAGCTAATTGTGATGGGAAGAATGTCGATTTTACCCCTGAAGTTTCTGGACAGATTTGGTTGATTATCCTACTTGGCTTTGGAATTGCTTGCCGACTTGGAGAAGTTATGGACAGATAATGCAGCTGTAAATTGATGATGTGGAACACTCTAATTGGCTATTGAAGATGCTAATTAATGAAGATCTACTTCAACCAATCAAAGCTCATTACTTGGAGACAAAGTTGATGTAATTCATAGTTGTACTAGGACTAGAAATTAGATGTCTATCTTGCCCTTTATGCCGCCTCATCTAAGGGTTGGTATTGATTGTCATAAGGGTAGGATGTGTCATAGGTTTGCATATAAAGACGGAGGATTATCTTAGGATTTGTCATAACGGCAAAACACAAGAATTGAAGAGAAGTCGATTAAGGAGAATTCTCTCCCCTTGTGTCGACATCTTTAGGGTGTTGTACCCTTGTCGACTTCTTTGGTTTGTAAGTATGTCTCTCATGATTGCTTTAATCATGAGTTAGTAGTCCTCTTTAACACTTTTCCCCTTTGAACCCTTAAGTTATGAATTAATTATTTTATACCTATGGTGAGATCTTGTGCTTTAATTCTATGTCAAATGATTGATGAATTGATGATAATTCATTATGCATATATTGACTTGTTGATGTATGTATGATTGGCGGATTTGATTTGATAACTTGATCCTTTTGATAAACAAGTTTTCATGCTTAACCCTGATTTGATTGTCTAGGTTTTCTTGATCAATTAATTAGGAGTGCACGCCTAAGGAGTTAATCAATTGAATCTCTGCTAGATTAGATTTGGTGAATAGCTAGTAATTGAATCTAATTGTAAGTAGCAAGATTTAATATATTCAATGAATAACTAGTAATTGAAGTATTGAATTGGGTTAAGATTGATCATTAAGTTGGGATGAATAACTAATTATCATTAACTTATGTTTAGTATATCTATTGATCCTAATGCTTATTAATTGCTTTAATTGGTGAATAACTAGTAGCTAATTTTGGTAATTGATAAAAGATGTTTGATTAGGAATAACTAGTACTAATCTGATTTGTAATTGATTATAGATTAGGATGAAGGAGAATAACTAGTATTCTGATTCCTTGCCAAAGACATGTTTATGGTGCTTATAAATTGATATGTTTTGATCTATGATCCATGATGTTTATAATTAATTTGTGCTTAAGTGGGGATAACTGGGGAAGTATTGCCTTTATCTTATTGTTTTCTATTTAAATTGCTTTAATGACAACCCAATTGCTTTCTTTATAATCTGTTGCTTTTAATCTGTTTGCTTTCTTAGTTGTTTTGAAACAGTTGATTCAGACCGAGTCTTCTCTGTGGGATCGACCCTGACTTGCCCTAGCTACTGTAGTTGGAGTTTGTTAGGTTTTTATTTTATTATTGTTTGACGACAACGATCATAATTTTGGCACCGTTGCCGGGGAAGACAACAAAACTGATTAATTGAATCAAAACAACCTCAATTCACCACCCTCTTCTTACCCCATTGCAAAACCCTCTTTTCTTTTCCTTTTCTTTTCTCTTTCCGATTTCTTCTTTCCCCCAGCCCTAATTTCCTTTTCTTGTTTTCAATTGGTGCGATTTGGCCCTCTTGGAACCTTAATCGCAACAATTTCCCTTTTCCTTTCTTTTCCCTTTTGCGATTTCAACCCTCCTTAACCCTAATCGCAATTCCCCTTTTCTTTTCTTTAATTTTTCGATTTCTTTGCTTGTAATTTTTTATTTCAATTGTGCTTTAATTTTTCTTGTTTTGTTTTGTTAGATTTGGAAGCTGAATCGCTAGATTGATTTATGCAAACTAGATCAAGAAGTAGTGGCAATTTAGTGTACGAATCTGATATTGACAAAATGGAAAAGCAATTGAAGCAAAAGCGAAATTCCGAAAAAGACAGTGAAGAAGGAGAACCCTCAGTGACCAATTCTCAAGAGCATACACCCACCAATTCACCTAAATCAGTTACATCTTCATCTACATCTTGTGCATCTGCTTTAAGGAATCTTTTTGACTTGGGAGATCAACAACCAATACAAAGAGTTCCAACTCTTACGGAACTTGCAGCTCCGGACCTAGCCTTACAACCTTTGTGTATCACTTACACAGATGTTGAAGCACAATTCGAGTTCAAATCTGGTTTTATACATCTCTTGCCAAAATTTCATAGATTACCTGGAGAGGATCCACATCAGTATCTGAATGAATTTCACATGGCCTGTTCTTCAAAGAGACCATAAGGAGTTACTGATGAGCAAGTTAAGCTCAGAGCTTTTCCTTTTACTCTAGTCGATAGAGCAAAAGATTGGCTTTATTGTTTACCTGCTGGTTCAATCAGTACATGCTGGATATGAAAAGACACTTTCTGGAGAAATATTTTCCTGCACACAAGGTTTCCAACATCAGAAAGGAAATCAGTGGAATCAGGCAAAATCCTGATGAGAGCTTATATAAATATAGGGAAAGATTCAATAGACTTGTTGCTTCATGCCCACACCATGGAATTGAGTCTCATCTGCTTGTTCAGTATTTCTATGAAG